CAAAGTGTAAATAACAGTTAATATTTTGTTGTCTCCACTTTTGTTCCTTCAGTGAGCAAATCCATTCTTACAGACCCTGGCATGTGTACCTTTTACCAAAACCAGTATTCTATTTCCCCAAAACAACTTATCTTGAGCTTATGCTGAAGTATAGAAGTGCGTGATTCCGGTAATTCCTCTTAATTCACTGACAGATGGAAACAAAACAAACCAAAAAAAACCCCACAAAAATTCAACCAGCAGTTTGCCTTTCAGGGACCTATTGAGCTCTTGGAAAGTGAAAGCATATACGTATGAAAACATACACAACTACTCTTGCAATTTCCATCAGCATCTTGCCTTCTGCAAGAGCCTCACCTGGGTTTCTCCATGTTTTTAAATCCTCACCAACTAAAAACTGAAAATAACACGTTATACTGTTTAAAAGCTAGAATTCCCAGCTCTTTTTGTGAAGCACGAAGTATCACTGAAACATTCCCAGCTTAGTATTTTTAAAAAAAAATTGTAAAGAGACAGTCATGGAAACAGCAAGAACAGAGCCACATGACCATATTGGGAAGCCCAGCCACCCAGGGTACGTACAACAGCAGGTTCTAGCCTCTGTTGATTGAGAGATATAATTTCTTAAAGCTCTTGTTGCTCCCCTGCCCCTGACTAGCTGTGGGGTTTTTTGTCACCGAATCTAGATTTAACATAACAAGCCCCAAACCTAGGAACCGTTTAATTCCTGACACTGGATGTGGCTTCACTAATGTTGCTTCCACCTCTTCTTTGGCTCTTTCTTGCCCTTGAGGTAATTTTTCGTGACATTTTCATGAGATCCACTTCTAACCTTCCTCCCCCTTGAAAACATACATAGAAATATGAATGGCAGGCATGCAATCTGCGCAGAGACACAGCACAGAAACTTGCACCTTGCACTCTTTTTCTATGTAAATAATGCAAGGATCCTGCGGGAACATGCCAGGGATTGGAATTTTTAATTAATGGGTCTCTTTAATGTGCAAATCAGGAGCAGATTGCAAATTCTGACTTGCATTGATTATGAAAAACATTAATTGAACGTGCAAGACCCCAAACAGAGGCAACATCTCAAGCCCTGGACTAGACTGGAAGATATGGTGCAAGAGAATACAAATGTATCTTGGAGAAACAGACCACTCCAGGCAACAGCACCTCAGAAACGTAAGCTGTGGGAGTTCACGTGTGCCGTGCATTAAACATTAAACATTTGCACTGCATTCAGAGCGCAGCCACTGTGATTTCAGTATTAAAAACCACTCAGAGTTTCTCCACGGATGCAAAACAGGAATAAACATGAGCTCCATGACCACAGTTTGGTCTCCAATTTGTATGTAAAAAGGGTGACAGAAAAAAAAAATCTGGAATGTAATTAAAGATTAAAAAAAAAAAAGAAAAAAGGGAAAGAAAAAGTAAGACAGTGCAAACAAAGCAATGCTGTCTCTTTAAACAGAAATTCATCCTATATAAATTATGGCCATAAACTTTTCCTGCAGTGCAGCCTAATTAATTCTTGTTCTATACACAAAGGGAAATGCTGGGTGACAAATGGGTGTGAAGCCTGAAAGCTGCCAGGTCTGCAAAACATTTTCTACTTCAATTTATAAGCAATTTTGCAGTAAATCATCCACCAGAACCTGAGATCTCTGGAATCCAAGACTGTCCAAGGCAGACTGTATCATTTAAAAAAAAAAAAAAATCATAAAAGATTACAAAAATAATAAACATTTGAAGTTTTGTAACCTCCGATCTCAAAATTTAGAAAACAAGCATGACCTTACCATTTTTGCTCAGATTTGGCTTTAAAACTCCAAATGTATATAATGTTGCTGTCTACTCTTTAACACAACTATGCTCAAACCTTTAGGGAGTTTCACTAGAACCACTACCTGCGCAGGGCGTTGTCACAAGTGGGAGATACCAAAGAGGCAAATATATGAAGGACCATTTTCCATTTCAAAAAAATCATCCTTCCTGTGAGCACAGAGCAGAAATTTCATGAGCAATGGAAGGACTTGGGATAAATTACTCAAAGCATTCTAGGGCAGCTTTCAAAGAGATGTGAGGGACTCCTCCAGAACCTCAGAGAGAGCTGGGTGCCGAGACCCCTCTATGCCAAATTTATCCCGTGAATTTGGAAAGACGCGCTGAGGCTTCCCTGGAAGGAGAGTATCATCCAGCCCAAAACAGTGCCAACGTCACGATTATCCCAAATCCTGTCCAAGACTGAAGTGCATCACATACAATGGAACCACCTCAACATTCAGCATTTACAAAGTCCTGTCTTCCACTCATCTTTAAACTTACTCACGCACAGTTCTTCTATTTTTTCCTGTCTGGGGAATGGGATGCTACACACAAGCTGGCAATATAATGCGGATGAAAACTCAGGAGTCCAGAAATGTTTACCCAGCCCACTACATCCCCGTTCAGAATCGAGTGGAAAAGTTTATTTTTATAGAAGCCACTAAACCACTTGATCATCTAAAAATTGGGACTTTAATTGGAAGCTGATTTATAATAAGTGAGATTTTTTTTTTCCCTCATAAACCAAGGTGCATCAATTCATGAAAGAACTTTAAATATATTACCAGAAAGGACTTAGTTTCACCTCCTGACAGACAGGTCACAGCCCTGTATCCAGGCAGAAGCTCTGTGAATGAAGATGTAACACAGCTCAGACTGCCCACGGGTACAGCCTAGCTGCTGATTAGACATGAATCCTTCTCCCAGCGCCCAGCACAGCAAACTGAGAGAGAAACGGGTCTTTGCCGCGTAACACCAACTATATCTTTCATAAAATCTTCGTGTGTAAGTTTACTCCTTATTTCGTGCTTGGCACTTTGTAACTTCTGGAATGAGCATCTTTGCAGGGCAGTGAAAGATATCTGCACTGGGCAATAGTGTAGCTCATCAAAAATGACAATTGTAACCTACTTTACTGGACAATTACAGATTGTATTTTAAAAAAATAGAAATAAAAGAAGGAATATAAATTTGGTCCCTTAGGGAACATTGGAAAACACTAAACAACTGCAGTAGTAGCAGAATGTTCCTAAATTCATTACTTCTCGTCTGTCAGTCTGAGCGCTTCCTCTGCTATCTTTGCCCAGGTCACTCCAGCTTTATTTTCTCGCTGTCTTCACAGATGGAAGTACAGAACATGAACCCAGGCTATCAAGGAACATCTGATATTGCAACTTTCCTGCCCAGATTATGAGAAGAGGGTGGGGAGGGAATCACTGAGCAGTTACTAACAGCGGGTATTCCTTCAGTGTTCTGGACAACTGAAAGATTAGGCTCTCTGCTGTACTGCGCCCAGTATTATACTCCATGTTCTTGGATGTGTTTTGCTTATGGGAAATATCAAAATGTCAACCATTGTTTCTGTTAAAGGTCTTTAATGATATTGCATTTTAGACCTGTAATGAAACATGGTGCTTGGTGCAGTTTGTAATGCATCTCATTAAATACATTAATAACATGTATTTCACTGAAAGGTCAGCTTAGTATTGTTGGGAGTTCGCCTTTTTTTTCCTTAATCACTTCATTTAAAGCAGCAGAGCTAACTTTAAAACATAAAGTACCTCACCTGCTGTAACTCCAGATAAGCTGATTAGCTACCATGTTCAGATCAGGTACAAGCTGTAAGATGACAGTCAAAACTTGGTGTAGGGGCAAGACTCAGGGTCAAGATCAACAATGGCAAAGTTCCTAATCCAGTTTTAAGATGACTTGGGCCAGCCCAGGCCAACATGTCTCAATCTGCAGGTAACAACTACAGCACGTACAAACGGGCAGATCGTGGGGCTGAATGGAGGTACAACCACAGCACACCAGACAGGTCATATCGCCTCTGATGTTTAGCACAAAAGGCTGGCGACACCACTACAGGGTTTCCTACCAACTGGTTCACGTAAGGGGGATTCTTGGGATCCTCCACGGGGTGCTCACCTACGGAGCTGAAACGTGACCAGTATCTCAAGACTGGGAAAGAAGAAATAGAAGTGAAAGGGATAACCAACCTGGCAAGCTTTAAAATGCTGTTGGGCTTATTCAAAAATCACTGGAAGAGTATCTTATGAAGTTCATTAATTTCTGATGGGTGGGATTAGAAAAAAGAAGGCTCTGTGTATAAACATGGTCAGCCGTGTGGTTTTTGACAGAAAACAACGAACATGTCAGGGAGAAATGGACACCAATTGATACCTGCAGTAGTTTGTATTTATTCCTAAGGATAACATAGCAGACATTTATCTCCCCATGCATTTGCCTTAAGTTCAGTAAAAAAGGTGTCCAATTCTAAAAATTAAGTAGTCCCACATCACACTGAAGTTGAGTACTTTGCACTTATCAGCTGAAGCGTGCACATTATATTTGCCATATTGGTGAATCTACTACAAATCTCATCAGGACAACATCACTAATAGTGATCCTAAGAAATAAACAGATGAAAAGATATTTGCTGTTGATTTAACAGCTCAGGCCCTCTCCTTTGGGCTACACTACTCCTGCTTAGGGCAAATCTTTGCATTCACTGACCCAGTACAAAACTGGTACGAGAAAGCAGTATCACAACTCTGCACTGAACAGCAATAACCAAACCAATTATTCCTAAGATCCAGCATGAAACTTAAACTTGATAAGCCTACTTCAATCCCCACAAGAACTAGAAACAGCAGTGGGTCCCGAGCTGAGGCTTTCCAACATTACGTAAGCGATGACAGGCCACCAGCAGAGATCAACTAGGCATAGACAGACATGGGTGATAGGAGACATTTTCTTTGTCTGAGGTAGAAAACGCTCTTTGGTTTCTGTTTGCACAGTACCTAAGGACTAAGGCAACACAAACCAACAGCTAAGACTACAGACACACACAACTCAAAGCCCTCACTTTCCCATTAACACTTCCCCGCTCAGGCAAAACATATTGGCTACAGCAGTGTCTACCCAAAGTAGGAAGATTGAAGAATTCTTACAGTTCTCGACAGCGTTGTCAAATTCTTGTCCACCTTCCTTTCTGAAGATTGGGTAAGTATCTGGCTGTGGAAGCCGGTTGACCGTTACGAGCGCCTTCTGCATCTTGATTCTCCCTTCCAACAGTTGATCCCACAGTGCTTCATAACAAAGAGAAAATAAAACAATTTTAGCAAGCCAAAGCACTTGATCCTCGTGAAAGAGCCAGTGATTTAACAGCACAGGCCCTCTCCTTTGGGCTACATTACTCCTGGTTAGGGCAAATCTTTGCATTCACTGACTCAGCACAAAATTGGTACCACAAGGTGTCTCTGGATAAAACCACATCCCATCCTATGATCCCGACTGCAATTCTGTGACCCACAAAAAAAAAAAAAAAAAAAAAAAAAAAAGAGCCCTTTGCTTTACTGTTTAAAAGGACATTCTGCAAAGGGAGGTTTGATAGTTTAATAGGACAGCCAGGAAGAAACTGCATTCGGTATTACATTTTGAAAAACAACAGAAGCGGTATCAGCATCAGTGCACAGCATTACCGGTGTAGGAAGTCCCCATCCCCACCAATACTGCAAGTATATTCAGTAGTGGTTCAGTTAAATCAGTGGATAAATACACTTCGTAACATGAGATTTTGTACCAGCAGTGACACCAGTTTGCATAGCAGATTTGGCAGAACATTTGCAAATCCCCAGGGCTGCTGCAGCATGCACATGCAGTATGCTAGCAGCACGTTAACACGCTGAAGTGATTCCTAACATGGCCAGTTTCTCTAGTGTCAGCAAGGGGAAAGTCTTGTAAAAACACAAAGCAAACATTCACAAACCTATCTGGTTCCTCACAGCTTTTCCTTTTTCTACTTCTTCAGACTCCTGTTGTTTTGAGAATGTCATCACCCCCCCGTCATCTTCGGTGTCATTGGTTTCCTTTACATTGTCATGGTTTTCACTCCCATATTCCTCTTCATCACTTCCTTCTTCCATGCTGGCATCACCTTCATCTTCTCCCTCACTGCTTCCTACATCATCCATCCCCTCTGTAAATTTCTCAAAGTCTGTAATATTCTGGAAACTGAACTTTGGTGCCTTGGCAAACGGATCTGTCTCTTCATCATCTTCCAAGTCATCCTCCTGGTCACTGCCAGCACTGCTGAGCTTCTCCTTTGTTTTAGTGCCTAAGCTGCCATCCTCTTCTTCATCTTCACTGCCACTGTACCATTCATCTAATGCTTCTTCAGCTAATAATCAAAAGAGAAAAAAAGTTATTTACTTGCCAGCAAAATGTGCCACTTTGCAGTACGCATCATCAATAGCTACAGGTTTGGGCTATTTGACCTCCAAACTCCGTTTCATCTGCGTACGATGTTACTCTCTGTTTTGGCTAAATAACGGAAACACGAGGCCATATCCACAGAAAGATCTCAGCTCACATTTTCTGCAACAATCATTAGTAAATCTGTGTCTTAGCTTTCCCATGAAACAATGCCATGATAAGAAAACGAGGTGGTCAGAATTCGCCACATGCATTTTTTTAAATGAGAATCTGTATATACTCACAGCCCTGAGATATATTGGCTTAAAAATGGGAGCCGTTTCTTTTCCTCTACACAACGTTCAGTCAGTGCACTGAGCCTCACCTTACACTTAGTCACACTCCTTTCTCAAGCTGGAGGAGTGACCTCCTCTTTGGGATTCCCCCTTCCCTCAGGCCAAAAAATAGGGCCTGAATTTCAGGAAGGCACTTCAGGAAGATGTCCAGCTTAATTGTACCTGTTTATTGCCCGGTAGCAGGGACTGAAAGTTTGTCATCTCAGTTGAGATGGCACTAGCTCAGTTAACATGCTAACATCAAATTTTGAGTGAAAATTGAAAAGGGGAAAGAAATTACATTTCTTACCAGATCCTTCTTCAGACAGAGCATCTCCCCAGAGTTCTTCTTGCAAGGCTTTGCGAGATGTAGCTTTTCCACTGTACCTTTTATCAGCTTCCAAAAGAGAGGCTGAAGCTTTTTTCCGTATATTGCCAACAGGGAGAATGTCATCTGCAGTTTCATCCTCAAATTTGTCAATCACTTTAGCAACTGTAGCTGTGGGAAAAAAAGGGGGAGGGATGTCTAAACGGAACTGAATTTCAGACTAGAAGAACTAGCTGCAGGAAGGAGCTGGAAATGTTACGCAAACCGACCAATTCCACGCCCCCCCTTCAGTACTCCGGACTTCTCCATATACAGGTTTGGTACCACAGGGCTCACCTGCAATCCAGGGATGAATGTTTATTAGCAAATGCCAGAAATCCTGCTGAGTTCTTTTTGAATGAACATTGCCTACATTCACACTTTTTTCCCTGCCTCTTCTTTATTTTAGGGAATGCACATGAAGTGCTAGACAGACTAAACCTATACAAGCCCTTCCACAGATTCAGGAGGGTCTCACAAGAAGTGTAGTCCTCCAGGTGGAGGACTCAGCAAAGCTGGAATGCCTTCAGTCACTTCACGCTTACAGATTAAATGAGGAAAACTGCAATTCAGATGCACTTTGGCCTCTTCCTATATGTATGAGCCACATAAATACATAAACATTTTAGAACGGCTAAACAGAGAAAATAATTTCACTGTGGTTATTACCCTCTTTCATACCCATCCTCTCCAGGACACAGGAATAGAGCAGTCCAGCAAAGAGAACACATCATACCATACTCCCTCTTTATTTTCATTCATGTGCAAGACAACCCAGTACGCAAAATTACAGGGTTAGCTTTGTTCAACCAATTGAGTGATCCAAATGGCTGAACATCGCTAAGTGCTCTTTTAATGTGTGTTTGGCAATGTTAATGCCTCACATATAGTGTTTACTTCAAGCAGGGGAGAAGCAAAAAAAAAATAATCTGCTGCTCATGATCACAGAAACAAGATCTGGTCTAGAGTCACTCCAGCTACATGAGGACTGCAAGATGCTCAGCACCAAGAAGCACCTGGGCAAGAGGGGCAGATGCAGTGGCACTCAACGGATCTTCTGGCATTCTCAAACCTTGGCACTGCTGAAGTATGAAGTCTTGAAACTAAATCATGATCACCAAAACTGGAAAACGCCTCTGCTGACTACATTAATTTCCTCAGTGGTTACTAAGATGTTGCTCACAAGATGCTATTGCTCTCACATCCACTTGTAGAGAAGAACCAGGCCAGCTGGCACAATGTTTACCATGACCTAGTACCTCCCAAAGCCAACCGCTGTCAGCGTGCAGCGGTTAACTCAATATCTCAGGAGGCGAGCGCGGGAAGCATCCGACAGGCATGGCCTGGAGAGGAGTCCTGCCCCGCGGCATGGCGGGTCTACTGGCCCCAGCCTGGAAACTTAGAAGATGAGACCGCCACCTACATGTCACAGGGAAAGGGACAAACGTCTCAAAAATCACAACTAAGGTGAAAAGAGCTTGACTGAAAAGATAAGTTGATTATGGGCCACGGGTAGGCATCAAAGAAGGCACGTGCGGCGCTGCGGCCTGCTCCGAGCGCTTGGTGTGCCGGGGAGGGCCGTCCCCGGCGGCCGCTGGGCCCGCTC